AAAAAAAAAATCTATGGGAAAAGAATAACAAACTAAAGTCTTCTTTTGATGGTACTAATAAAGGATGATACCAGTCAGAAGAAATAACTGACAGCAATTGTGACCTCTCTAGAACACCTCCTTCTAGTTTATTAAATTAAGCAGCCAAAGAGCTCCTTTTCAATTTCAAGTTGTTAGACACCCAAAACCACACAGCACCTGAAATGGTCAACTCCACCTGCAGAAAGCATTGGGTCAGTTTAAAATGTAATAAATAAGAAACGGCAACAAACGAACAACAAACAGAACAAGCTGATGGCCCTGCCTGCCTGTAGCTGTGCAATTTAGCAGCTTCAGATCCCATCCCTGTGAGTCCTGTGGGGCCAGAGGCTGCTGTGGCATCTGCTCAAGTGCTGCTGATGGGAGAAGGGCAAAGAAGCCAGCAGCAGGCGAAGAGGAAAGGGTGGGATGCAGGGCCCTGAGGATGGCCGGCGCTGTGCTGGCGCTGTACTGTATATGGGAGCAAAACTGGTGGGAATGTCTGCACTCAAGCCAGAAGATATGACTGGGTTTGTACTGTCACTAACAGAATAAAACTGTTTCAGTTTCTGTCAAAGAATTCTGAGGGTCTTCTGCTGGACATTTCTGCGAAGCGTCAGCAGCAAAAATAATAGGTCAGGTTAATGTTTCTACATTTGCTCAATCCCTGAGAGTTTTAAAGTGCAAGTTAGTTCTTTTTAAATGCTTTTTACTATAGCTTACAAGGGCCCCTCCACCCTCCATTCCAACAGAAGTTATCTGTTTCACTCTAGTCCATTCTGTTCCACCAATATTGCACCGGCTGTGTTTGGTGCCCTTCTCTTCACCCATCCATTCGTTCATCAGCCCAGAACTTCTGTCGATCCACAGGGCAGAACTTTCTCTCCTCTGTAGATCTAGGACTCCTCAGCACAGTTACGTTGCTGCTAGCCCTAGGCCGTGGGATGTGCCTTTGCTGTGGGGAGAAATGGCTGCTCCTTCTGGCTGGCCATGCTGCCACGATGCGAGTGCTAATAAATGTGTGTGAATTAATGCATGTGCTCTAGAGCTGAACTAAGCGTTAAGTATTTCCTTTACCCAGCTGCCTATGCTTGCCCTTCTGCTCTGTGTGATAATATGCTACTAAAACCATGCCAGGTTAGGATGCTATTACCCATGATTTCCCAATCAAATTTGACCATTTGTGGGATGATATTCCCCCTGGAACAACAGATGAAGGAGGAAGGCAGGCTAATTGATTCAGCGCTCCCCCACGGCCTCCGAGCCCAGGCACTTAGCTGTAACCGTTGTGAAACAGAAGAATTTACGCTGAGTTATAAACTGGTATCACAGACCTCAGTAAATGGTGGATACTTCATGAACCGTCAGCTATTCAGAGAGCATTGCCATATAGTTTTACTGTTTCGATGCACTTTTCCAACTAATATCTGTAACTAATGTAGTTCCCCTTCTTAAGGTGACGTGAAGTTCATAGCGTATAACTAGGGAAAGGGGAGAGCTTGGGTTTTTTTCTTAATAAAACCATGCCTGTCAGCTGCTAAATAACAGCTGTATTTCAGTGCATTCGGGAATCATAGCTTCATATTTATGTCTTCTTTTCCCAATTTACAACCAGTAAGACCTTATACTAAAAACTCTTCCCGTTAGTGTAATTCCACCCACTGCTAAAATGATGAGTGTTAATTTTAATTTTTGCACAAAACAACAGAAGGGGTGTAGAGCACCAGCCTCTGGGTAATGTGCACTGACAGAATGGCATTCCTCAAGGAAGTCGGTTAGCTAAAGAAATAATATCCTAGCATCTTGCAAGTGTCCAGTGTGGTTGCTTTAAGGAGATTGTTTAAGTTAAGCATTAAGGTTTCTATTGCTAGCATACACGTCTAAAAAATTAATATTGCTTTTGCAGTTTGGAGTATAAAGCAGCAGGCACATTTTTGGTAGACTTTTTCTTTAGCTAAGCATGATTCCAATTTGGAAAAAGACGACTACATCTTCATTGTGTGAGTAAAAAACCAAAAAAAACCAAACATGTTTGGATCGAAGGAAATGCAGTTCTTTTCATTGATGTCCACACAGAAGTTTATAATATTTCTGAGAAATATTTGTGAGCTGGTTCTTGCTCTTTGATAGCATGCTCCCACCTCCTTTCTTCTTTGGTGTGTTAGCAGAGAGCTTTCTCCCCTTCTGTCTTGAACACAATTTTTTTGTTACAGGTTTTCTTTCAAATATGTCATGAATGTTTATGCAAACAAGTAAAGATTTGAGTAAAGCTTCTAAGTTACTGTAAATGCCCAGAGCCTTTATCAGACCTCTGTCCTTCTGGCGGCGACTGATGGGACTTACGGGAATTCATTTTCTTTCCCAACTACCTGCAACAATGGTCAACTTCCACATATAGAGTCATGTAATAGAGTCTCAAACCCAATTCACATTGCGCAGGTGATAATACCAAAACCACCCATTTGTTCATTCTGGGGCATATGCTAGATTTTAATTTAATTTAGGACCGTGCATTTTTTAACATGAATGAACTTTCAGCCTGTATTTTGTCTGCATTTTTATGTTGCTGGATGCTGGTCAGGGCTGAATGTTATCAACCTTGTCCTTTTCAGAAGCTGTTTGTGGACTTCTAGAAGAGACTAAATGAGGTCTTGTTATTGTAACTCTGTATTCTGCTTAATCAGAGACATTTTTAAGGTGACAGTGGACTGTTTGGATGGGATTCAGTTGCCTAAAATGGCATTGAAGGCCTACCCTTAGATACCCAACTGCTGCTTTGCCTCTCGCTGTCACTCTCAAAGAGTGCAAATCTCTGGCAGATCTTGTCATGTCTGCCACTCAAATGCGAATGTCTCAAATTTTCTAGTGTCTCAAATGACACAAAGCATTTACACTTAAACAACTGAATCTTACCTTTTTCATCGAGAGAAAAACATTATTCATATGTATTCCTTTAGTTATTTGCTGCTTATAAAGCCTCAATAATTTGAGCACTCGAGTTCTCTCCTTAGTATTCACAGATTGCATTGCTCCAAAATTTGCTGGTCCTTGTTTTTTGTTTTTTATTTCTGAATATGTACAATAAGTGAAATAAATTTGGTTTTCTCTCCATTACTTTCTATAACAAGGTTCTTGTAAAACTGCTAGGAAACTTGAGTTATTTGCCATTTAACACCATTTAAATGTAGGAAAATGTCAATGGTGAAGCTCAAGCTGTTTGGCTTTTCTGTAGGTCTGTACATATGGCATGTGACTCACAGTGGTTGTACTTTATGGATAGTATAAATCATATTTTGAAACAGAGAAGGAAAGTTTTATTTGGGAAGTCTTCATATGTTCATTATTGAGCCTTCATGTTTTCAGATGTTGTTTAGTACCAAACATCTTGGAGTTTATGGAACAAATTTCCATTTTAAAATTGAATTTCTGTGTATTACAGTCTGGACTCTCTATCCGTGATCACTTCTGAAAGTATTTTAAAATGAAAGCCATGGAGTTTGGAAACACTTTGACAAGACTGCCAAAGTTAGGCTTTTCTGGAATGGCCAGGGGGAAAATTTTTATGCCTTATCTTTAACCATCAGATATAAAAACACTGCACTCAGAATGCTAATTAATTTAATTCTTTTTCCACATACTGCAGCAGGTCTAATAACAAATTTAAAGAGCAAGTGAGGAATGTATTGAGGAGAAACAGTAGAACTCTTGCTTGAAAATGCAAGAGAAAAATTCAAAGCTCTCTTAGGCTACTTTAAGTTCAGCAAATACATATATGTGTTTTGAGGCTAAACTTTCCTCACTACATTTTTAATAATTAAAAAAAAAATCTCAACTGTCGGATAAATTTTAAGAGGGCCATTGATTTTTCTCATTGTATATAAATATTAAGATGTTTTCTATCTCTTAAAAGAACAACTGTGAAATACCTGCAAGATGATGAAAACAAACTTGCCATTGCCTAAATTTTTGGGTGGATGCTTACTTGATGTACTTGCAGAAATACACAAATTATTCTGATTGTCAATTTGGATTTATTGCAAGATGAGAGAATCTTGACTGTGCTTTTAAGCAAGATGTGCTTGCTTGTGATGGATCTCATTTCAGATCCATCTTTGATGCTGACATTCACTGAGCACTAACATGAGCTAGCTGAAACAATGCCTCTAGATCTCTATGCATATGCTGAAAGCTGAAACAGTGGATCAAATGGTAAAGAACCCTTATTCATCATCGCTATAATAGATATGTCACAAGTACTTATTTTAAAAGCGGTGGATGAGATGATCTCTGTTTCCAGAAATAAAACTGTGCATTTAAGCAATGAGAAGAACTAAAAGGTTATTCTACTGAAAGTGTAAAATGTGTAAAAGTTCTCATGAGAGCAAAGCAGAAAGGGGCCGTGCCTATACTCCTGGCTTTTGCCTGCATCAGTATATTGACAGGTGTTGGGAGATGTGATAGAAGCTCTGACTGATGTAGCTGCCCTGACCCAGAAGTCAGTAATATAACTGCAAATTCTGGTTCCCCTTCTCCCCTTGCCTGATGTGACTTTTGTCAGGTGGCTTTAAAATACTAGTATAAAAAACAGATTTGCTGGCATAGCTTCACCTCTACTGATCTCTCTTTGATTTGTATACAAAACTGTAAAATGCCTCTACGGTGGAGTCATTTGGAATGCATTATGAATATCCAGTAGGTGTAATTCACCTTTAAAATATCAGATTTTTCCATTCCTCCTAGAAGGGCTGGAACTCTCCTTTTGCAAAGTATGCAGAAAACAATCTCTTTCTGGTTAAAGCTGTGTGTTGTATGACTTGGTTAAAAAGCAAACATAGACTTTTAACTGCTTTTTATAAGATCTGTTCCAGTGAAACCGCTGATAACTTTGCAGAGATTTGCTTATTCTTTCTTTAAAAAGTCAACTTTTTTATCAGCCAAAGAACACGCCATTTGATTAATGATCATTTTTATCTCTTTGAAAGGATCCTTTCCGACCATTGGGGTGAAGTCTCTTTCGAGATTCCTGAGGGCGGGATTTTTAAATAGCATCCTGGCCTCACATCCAGTGTCAGGGGGTGGATCTTTACCCCCCAGCATTTCCTCTGGTAGGTATTCCAGCCTATTCCCCCACATTGATTTTTCCCTTCACCTTTGCCCCATCTCTCCACACATCTTAAGGAAACAAAATTTGGTATTGGTCAGACAGGGAGATTAGATGTCCTTTCCAATAAAAAGCCAAACTGAAAGGAAATGGAAAAGATAAATTACTTTTCAGGAACTAGCCAGTTTTCCTGAATCAATGTATAGAAGAAATTGTGAGGGAAACTGATATGTAGTTAAGTGTTCAATCTAAATATTGGAAGAGAAGGCCGGGTATCCTCTAATCATGCACTTCATGAAGCATGCCCACGTGCACCGGGGAAACGCAACTTTAAAAATTCCTCTATAAAATCCCAGATTTTATGTGGATCTGTGACTCCTTCCTAAAAATTCACATTCCCTTTCTAAAACATAAAAGCAAAACAGGTTTGGAAAAGCAAAATTTAATTATGTACTGATATGGTGTTTAAAACCTTTGTATGCTTCTACAGTTGCAACTTGTGTCTCATGAAAGCTGCCTTAACTTTTTTTAATAACTTTTATCACAGTTTGAACTACTATAATTCTCTTAAAATGAGTGAGAAAACCCCATTGCCTGTGTTACCAGCACAGTATTCTGTACTGCCTCTGGCGAGGTCCCCAGCAGAGGCACAGCTGTACGATGGCATGAGGGACCCCGGAGGGTTGGCATAAGGTTGAATGTAGGCCAAGAATGAGAACACCATGCCAGGTGAATGGGCTGCTGTCAGGAATGGGCTGAAACAGGAAAGAAGGACAGGTCAGGGGCATCCTCTCCCAGAAAGCCTATGTGTGCTATCCATTTTCTTCTGGAGCTATTAAAAACCATCTTCCACCAAAGCTAATAAATGAAGAAGTATCTTAATCATACGTATCAATTATAGTTAAAACTGAATCAAAGTGCAGTTCTGTTCCTTTCCAAACGAAATATTTCTACGTAAAATTAATCTGCACATGGGCTAACATCACACTTGTATCCTTTCAGGACATCTTACTTGTAATGTTACTTACAGTTTTTCTTAAAGAGGAAAAATCTCTTATGGTAAAAGTAGGGAGAGAATTGAAAAATCACATAATGTTATTGATTGGCTATACAAAAGAAACTGTTCTACTTCTCTGTGCCCTGTTTTATCTATTGCAATAATTATAGGCCTCATTAATACATGATTCTTGCTTTTTTTTTTAAGTGCTGTTATTTCTTTGTTTACTTTCTTTCTTTGAATAGAAGCTTCTCAGCAACTTTGATGTCTTTTCTTATGACTGTTTGCGTGTCTTTTGTCAACAGTTTGTAAAATACTTTCAATTTTTTTTTCTCCTTGGGATATTTTAGAGTGTTTAATAGCCCCTAGGCTATTTTGCCAGTCAGCATCGCGATGAGATTGGTATCTGTAACCAAACAGCTGTGGAAGAGGAAATACTCCAGGCCCCATAAAATCCTCTGGTTTGAACATAGTGTTACGTATAGCGTATCACTGATTCTATTAGATTATGAATGGCTTAACTGCACTTGTGAACTGGCTTCTCACCTATGTACCTACCTACAAGTTTATTTAATAAGGTCCTCAGGACTGTTGTTTTCTGAATGCTTATAAAGCTTTTTATCACATTTTTTGGACTTAAATTGTAACTCTTAAATATGGTTTATTTTATAAAACTGGCTCATAATTTCTTGCTATCAAATGTCTTTTACTAAGTGTTGCTATTTAATTCTTCCTTTTTTACTTTGTCATATTTGTATCTACATTAAGCACAATCTTCATTCTGAATTGCCTCTCTTCGTTACAGAGATGACCAGAGAATGCTATTTCCATTTCATGATGACTTTCTAAATTGCTAAAACCAGCTTTGCTGTACATGTGAGCAAAAAAGCCACACATTTACTGCATTTTTTTGCCAAAAATAATACAAAACAAAAAACTGTTGAAGGTGGAACTGATCTGGGATGTGAGAGACTCAACTGAATCGTTTACTGTGCATGATTCAGTGGAAAATACAAGTTCATCTTTGAATCCTTAATCACTTTAGTTCAGAGAAGGGACCTACCCTTTGTTCCTTTGTATCGAAACCCACAGCACTAAACACCTGACCTTTTTCCTGAGTGTTGCTTTACCAAGGAACAAAGACACCCCAGGCAACAGCGCTCCAAGAAGGTATTTAAGCAGTGATATCTGTGTTATCGTGGCAGCCCCTGGCTGTTAGAACCGCAATAGGCAGGCAAAATCAGCTCAAAATCAGTTGCCCGTTGCAGTCTCGATGCTGCCTGCGAGGCTTACCCTCGCTCGTTAAAAGTGAGGGGATTGGATTGCTCTTTGTGCACCGGTACTGGGGGGAGGCACGCGCGGCTGCTGCCTCCCATAGCACAGCGACCCCACCTCCCCTATCTGAGATGCTGGGCTCATGTTGGACTGCGGCTTTCATGAGCTTAACAGAAGTACTTATCATTTAATAACTTTGCTGAGTTATAACCTAATTGCTTCCCATATGGCTTATGTGTGAGATCTCAGTGAATTTAACTACATGAAAGGCTTAAAATGCCTGCATTATTCTGCTATTAGGGTCATTGGGAACAAAGATAATGAGATGGTTTTTATTTACCAGAACCTTTAACTCAAGCTAAGTGGCAGATTTACTTCCAAATAGTCAGAAAATTTATTCCTTACTAAAGACAAAATGCTTTTGCATCTTTTATCTACAAAATTCCCCACAGAAGTTTTAAGTGAAGCACAGAACTAAACTGGAAAGCCTGCTATAAATAAGTATCTGGTCATCAGCTTGGCAGGCAATGTAGCTGTTGGTTTCCTTTTTTCGCTTTCTACTTTTCACTCAATAGTTGGGGGGAGAGTATTTCTTTTACCATTGCACTGAGAGCTGATGTTCAGTTTTGTGTAATTTGGTGTCTGCTGTTGCACTGTGCAGAGGTTCACTTATGTAAAAGGTGTCCTTATTTAGCCAACTTAAATATTAATTTATGCTGCTGCCATGGGGTGGTGCATCTTTCTGCGTAAATGGATTGCCTCACATGTAGGGGTTTTTTAAGCCTAGACATAACTATGCTAATGTAATAGTGCTTCTAGTTGATAGCTGCATCAAAAGTCTGGCACTACTATACAGCAAAGCTTTCAGCAGGCCTCCAAATATCTATCCTAGATTTTTGCAAAAACAAGCCCATTTTCAGACAATAGCTTCCTTTTGATTTAGCTATCATTTATGTCACAAATTACTCTGTTTCTTGTTATCCCACCTGTTGGCAGTACAAATTCACATGACTTAGTTGATGTAGCTCTCTAATGACAGATGGATTCACATAAGCAATACGTACTTCTTTCCAAGTGATATCGTTGCATATATTAAATGTCCTTGCATATATTAAACTTAGCGGTTTCCACTCCTCAGCACGCTTACACTGGCATGAGCTGTGGAAGCTTACCCCTTCCTTCATAACTGCACATACACTCACAGACAGGCACATATATACGCATGTTGTGAAAAACCAAGAAACTAAATTGCCAGTGCTGCATCTCTTTCTTCAAGTTTCAGCTCTTCCAAACTAAGTACAGTGTTGTTTACTCCATTTGGGGGAAATTCTTAGCTACTCTTGCTGTGTATTGGCAGTCTTGATTTCAGTCCTGCGTAAAAGGGTTAGTTACATAAATGCATACCCATATTGCCTGGCAGAAGTTACATGGAAAAATTTATGGTATGCTGCTGTCTTTGAAGAGTGTCAGACAGATTATTAAGCTTGCTGAGTTGGAAAGGAAGGGAGGGAAAGCAAATATCTTTCCTACTGTTTCTTTCAAGCTAAACCCCTTTCCTGAGTTTTTCTGTTGACAAGAACAACTAGAGATGGGTGTCAGGCTATGAGAAACTATGGAAAAGTTCCCATTAAACAAATCTCCCAGATCCCCTTCATACTGTTCAGCATTCAAACTACACTACCAGGAGAGGGAGAAAAAACATCAAAATTATTCTTTCCATACACACCTTTCTATGTACATCAGTGCTGTGATTTGCTTGTGAATTCCCTGATCTCCCCATGTGGTCAGCAGCTGGATCATTGCCTCCTATTTCATTCACAGAGCACCTCTCTGAAGCTTCTGTGGAAGTATCTTGATGTGACTTTTTTAATGAAGTATGAGCATCAGTTATTTCCTACCACTTATTTTGCAAGGGTTAATTATCCAGCTCTTTTACCTTTTAGGAAATGGAAGCAAAGAAATCAGGCTTGATAAAACAATCCACCCCTGTGAACCTCAAAAAATCCATCACATGCAAGAAATGAGGATGCACTTACTTTCCAGAAACTTAGAAGTGATACAGGACAGTTTGCTCACTGCTGTCTTGGACAGGGTAATGACAGGTCTCCTCCTCCACATAAAGTACATTATTGTCCTGTTTTCAGCTGGGACAGAGTTAATTTTCTTCCTAGGAGCTGGCACAGTGCTGTGGTTTGGATTTAGGATGAGAAGAATGTTGCTAACACCCTGATGGTTTAGTTCTTGCTGAGCAGGGCTTACACCAGCCAAGGGCTTCTCAGCTTCCCCTGCTCTGCTGGGTGCACAAGAAGCTGGGAGGGGGCACAGCCAGGACAGCTGACCCCCACTGGCCAGAGGGCTGCTCCAGACCATAGGACATCATGCCCAGTACAGAAACTGGGGGGAGTTGGCCAGGGGGCAGCGACCATTGCTCAGGGATGGGATGGGCATCAGTCAGCAGGTGGTGAGCAGTGGCATTGTGCATCACTTGTTTTGTGTATTCTTTCATCATTATTATTATTTTCTCTTCCTTTGCTGTGCTGTTAAACTGGCTTTATCTCAACGCATGAGTTTTAGGTTTTTTTCCCGATTCTGTCCCCAATCCCACCAGGGTGGGGGGAAAGGTGAGCAAGCTGCTGGGTGGTACTTAGCTGCTGACTGGGGTTAAACCACGACCATTATACAGAGGACATCTCCTTTTCAGTGTTTTACTGCCTGGTTGTCTATGACGGTTT